GATAAATAGGTTAAGGCTATACAATTTAAAGTTTTTTTAATTTTTGAACTCTTTATTTTATTTAAGACTCTTTTGATTAATAACCTTGATTGTTTAAATGTTTGTTTTATGTTATCGATTACTTTTTTAATTGTTGAAATAAACAAAAACTTATTATTAATTTAAGTGTTGTATCATTTGATGCAACAATGTCCTTCATTACATCATTAGTTTATCGTTATATTACGTTTATCTTATGTTTATTTGAAATATTGAATTTTACTGACGTTTAGTCACAAAATAAACCACTGACCAAATTATGAACTTGGAAAATCGGGGAAAATTTACCCAATATTTGGGTGATTTCCCGATTTTTTGTTCGATAATTGAAACTGTATTGGTTTTTAAGGGTTTTAAACTGTGTACCGTTGTTGGTTCAACAAATAGATAAATAAAAAATAAAACAAATAAAAAATAGTAAATAACGGGAAATTAGGACAAAGGGTTTATATAAATTTTGGAAACGGTACAGAGTTTTGGAAAACAGTTTATTATGATTTTTATTTTTATTTTCAAACTAATTTCATCACTCTTTTTGTGTTTCATCAAGTCCTGTAAACTTCCATACAAAGCAAATTCAGTGACCATACAAATGTGGTTTGGAATGTGCATCTTTTTTTCACTTGGCGTTTGTTAAGTAAAATGATGATTAACAAAATGATCATTGTTATTATTAATGTTCTTCAAATCTGTTTTGTGAAATAATTTTTCTTCGAAATAATGAATACTGTAATTTGAAAAATTTTTATGTAGTATCTTCTTTGCAAAATTGAGTATTAATTAAATGATGAAAGGTCAAAAAAATTTTTGTTGTGGTCATTATCCAATTAAAGTCAAAGAAGACTTTTTAATGGATTTTAAATTCAAAATAATTAAAAACTCAATATAATTAAAATAATTTATTATTGTTTTTAAAATATTACAATGATTGAGGAATTGGGTTGAAACATTTGTATTTCAAATATTATTGTTTTGATTAATAACAGTTATTATTACATAAAAGCCCTCTGATAATAAAAATAATATTGTCTGTTAATCCAAAAATAATCAATTTTAAAAATTTATAATTAATCAATAAAAATACACTTTTTGATTGATTTTTACTGTTTTATTTTTATTAAAAAACGCCAATTATATAAAAATCATTTTATGTTATAACTAAAACATATACAGTTAATGGAAAAAGTGGGATGCTAATCTGAATATTAATTAATTTAATATTATTAATAATAAATAACTAATATAAATTTATTTTGGTTTTTTCATTTCATTATTTTTTTATTAATATTTTATATTAAAATTAATAATAATTTTATTATTTTCAATTGAAATTAACCAATAGTTACGAGCATCCTTTTTTTCCTAGCATCCCCATATTTTCTCTTACTGTAATAATAAATATTTTTAATTTTACTAATTTGTTTTGTGAAACATTGATTGAAATACAACATTTATTAAGAGTTGAGCATTTTTAATTTAAAACCAATCATTGGTTCTGAACTATATCTATTTAATAATAAATGTAATCAATTTAAAAGAATATGCCTAACTTTAATACGTGAAACATCCAATTCAATTATAATTACAGTTTTTATCTAATGGCACAAAAGTCATTTATTTCCATTTTAAAATGATTATTAATATATGTAAGATGTTTTCCCGATAATTTACGATATTATAAGATAATATTCAATATGCTTATGTTAATTATATACACTTTTTATGTTTTTGCATTAATGAAGAAATTTATAATAACAGTCTTTTAAGAAAGAATATTATGGGGAAAAAGTAATTCTATTTTTTCAAGAGAATATTCAAAGGAAACCCGTCTTTGATCAAAGTATTAATTTTTGTTCTTTAATAAATTAGAAATACCTATCCTTGTACATTTTATCATAATCGACGGTCAAAAAGTTTCTGGAATTTTATAGAAACAACCCTTTGTTAATATAAAGTTTACTGAATCAACTTTAAAATACAAAATGTCGCAATCTAAAATAAAAACAAGTCAAAACCCAGAAACCAAAGAAAATCCATATCAGAAGTCGATATTATATCTGAGTACAATAGAGTTGTTTATGATGGAGCAATTGGGGTATTCTTTCTTAATATCATGTAATATACGAAATAGAAACTCGATTAAACTTCGTAAAAGTTGCAAGTACTTCCCCATTCAAAAAGTCTTTGATGAAAATGGTGTTATTAAATACGATAATGAAGAAGAAAAAGAAAATGAAATTAAAAAATTGCCCCCAAAAATAAATAAAAAAATAAATGATCGCGACTTAATACCAAATATAAAAAAAGAATTCAATGAATTGTTAATGCCATGGGTAAACAAGGGCAACAACAAAAAATTAAATGAACTTTTTGATGGAATTCTTAAAGATAAAAATAAAAATATATGTTCTATTAAATCAACTAAGAAACAAAGGGTGCCAATGCTACAATATCTTCCATTTAACGAAAATGGTAATGTAAAAATAGATTATTCAAAAAATATAATAAGTACTGTGGGTTTTTATATGTACTCGACACTGAAACAGTATTTTGAGAAAAACGAAACAAATGGTGTTCTAATTTACAACGAAAATTTTGTTGAAAATGGCAAGCATACAAAAAAAAATTTGGCCCAATTGATAAATACAACAAAGTATTCAAAAATCAAATTCTCAGACTTTAAATTGTTGTACGACGCCGTTTGTCGCGAAACAGAAAGAAATGGGGACTCAAGCCAAAGTAAAGTCACATCAACAGATAGTGGAAATACTGCAAATGATCACCATGACCACAAAAATATTATTTTTATGAAAACAACTTCGTCGGATGATGTAATTGAAACCTTTAAAATCAAAAACATAAAGAAAACAAAAGTTGAGAAGAAACCAAATATTAAAAAAGTCGCTACAAAACCAACTAAAACACAGAAAAAAGTGAATAAAAAAATGAGCAGTACTGTCAATTCAAATCGAAAATTTGATAAGGGAAAACGCTTTTTAGAAAAAGCAGATGGCACAAACAGTGTTTGTCAAAAAGCAAGTAGCACCACTCAATTTCAGGAATATTATAATACACATACAGAATATCCAAAAGAAAAAATGTTGTATCCAGACACTGATAAAAACTATTTTCCACCAAAAGAAGACAAAGAAAAATGTTATTATACACAAGAATATAGTAAAGATGATGATATTCAACAAAAAGTGGATATCCACTTTTTCGACTTAAAACATCAAAATAAACAATTTGAAGACTACCAATCAATGAAAATAGTGACAAAAAATGAAGAACAAAATATTGAAAACATGCAAATTGAAGAAACAAATGATAATAAAGTTATTCCAATGGAAGAAGATACCAATACCGATATTTTTCAAATTCCATTTAAATTTCCAGATGATTACAATAAGACAGACGTAAGTTTTGGTGAATCGTTTATCCAATACTACCCAACAATTTAAGCTTGGAAATATTAGGCGGACCACTGACGGTCCTCAGTATATATGTATGCTGACAGGTGCGCCTTATCGCACTTACCTTCGACTATTTATATTTTATATTTCCAATTATTTTGTTAGAACCATTTAAATTAGTATTGAGATGAAAAAATGAAATGTTCGACAAAGAAAGAATTTTATTGAATTATTTAGTAAATGATGAAAATGTAATCAAAAAAGCAAAGAAACAATGTTGGTGTTTGGTATATACCAGTATTTTGTCTTTCAAACTGAATTTTTATGACTAAAGATAAAAGTTGATGAACACGGAATAACAAGAACAAATGATGGTATGTTGAAAGGAAAAACTCTAATTAATAGTGTATTTATATTTTTATTGTAATTGTGAATGAACTTAATTGTGTTATATTCAAAATAATATAAAATAATAATAATTATATAGTTGTTTTATTATTTTTCATAAAAGTGTTGAATGTAAAATAATAAAATGTTTGGGTTGGTTGAAAGGTTGGAATTTGATATAGTATTTTATTACTTTATATTTAAGTATTCAAACCGGCATTTTAATACCACAGTATAAAGCATCTATTTGTGGGCCAATAAACCAATCAAATGCAAAACCCACAAATAATTATTTTTTCTCTGTTTGAAAACCCACAAATAGATGATTTACTGTATTTTGTGTTTTTATTGTTAATTTAACATGTAGAGGTATTTATGAACATAAATTAACAAATAATTAATGTTCAACATTTTATAAAATTGTTAAAACGATTTTTAATGTCAAAATTTTTATTTTTTAATTTTTATTTCATTTTCAAAATAAGTTTTAGTGAAAACAAAGAGTTAAAATAATCAAATTGTTAATATTTTATTATTCGAAAATATTCATCATATAAACATTTTTTATTAGTGATGATAAGTTGGAAATTTACGAATCAAACTCAGTTGTTGCGTTAATTTGGTAATTAACAACAATTACAATATATCATTTGTTTATTTGTCAACACGAAGTGAAACAAACAACTTACAATATTGCTACTTTTTTAAAAAAATTCTTATTTGTTGAATTAACAATATTAAAAATTGTTTAACAATGTTGATTTCGACTCATATTCAAAATATAAGTTTTTCCAAATTATTATAATTCAATTTTAAACCCAAATAATCAGTTCATTAAAAAAATAAAAGCGAACTTATTTTTTAATTTCAAAAAATTAAGTTAAAAAAATCCACAAATCCGGGTTTTTACCTTGTTAATGTAATATTCCGATTGTTTGTTTTTTTTAGTAAACAAACTTTTACTTTTGGATATGCTGATACTACCAAATTAAGTTAAATTTTATTTAAAATCATAAACATAAGACTTGTTGTTCATTCTCAAACTCTTATAGTTTGTTATGATTTCAACAAGCGAATAACAGAAAACAGCAGTTTAATTTTATTTATAAATCAACCAATCAACAATAAAAAAAACATTAATAATTATAAATTTCATTTATCATGTCAAGTGAGACGCATCCATCTCATGAAACCAAAGAAAATCCATATCAGAAGTCGATATTATATTTGAGTGCAATAGAGTTGTTTATGATGGAGCAATTGGGGTACTCTTTCTTAATATCATCCAATATACGAAATAAAAAATCGATTAAACTTGATGAGGGTTGCAAGTACTTCCCTGTTCAAAAAGTTTTCAACGAAAAGGGAAAACTTCTATTCGACGAAACAAATGAATTTAACATACACCAAACGTCAACACACACAAAATTTCAAAATTATTCAAAGTGTTCCTCTTCTGAAAAATATGAAAAAACTGAAACCCTTACAAACAGACAGAACGACAAACGGAAAGTTGCGAAAACACAAAGAGACTTAATTCCTCGATTAAAAGATTTTTTCAATTCAATCATCACGAATTGGCTCTCGAACAACAAAGACAAAATCGAAAACTCAAATGACGTCGACAAATTGAAATTGGACCAGACACAAACGAAGAAAAGTGAGAGTAAAAGTTTCACTTCAACTATGCTGAAAATGCTTCCAATCAAACAATTTGAAAAGATCAAAGTTGTCCTGCGGAATTTTGCGATGGCGGGGCCGGGACTTATGCTGTATACAGTTTTGAAGAATTTTTTCGGCCAAAACAAGACGAAACAGGTCTTGATTTACAACGAAAACGCAACGCAAAATATCAAAGAAAGTTGCACCGAATTGCAAGTCTACATGGACGAAAAAACAACACAGAAAATGCCGTTTTATCAATTTAGAAACATGATAATGACGGAGACAAACACAATCAAAATTGACACACCGAAAAAAACTGAAGAGAGGAAAATCGGTGGAGCTTTTGTTCCAATTAATGTCGACGATTTCAAACCTAAAATAATCCAAAAAGAAAATACAACACTAGACGATCAAAACAAAATGCAATTTGTGACATTACTAAGAAATCTAAGTCCACACTCGTTGGAAAATATCCGAAAGGAATTGAATAATATATTAAATGAGAAAAATAAAACGACTGTTGTAAGTGAACCACCTCCAATTATTGACTTAACAAAAACTATGTTGGATAAATAATGAAATTGTGAATTGTGTTTTTAAATGAATTTTGGGTGGATTTATTATGTTATTGGAAGAAATAAATTGTTTTATATTCAAATAGTATTTATTATAATTTAAAATAGTAAATAAAGTCGGTCTGGAAACCTTATTTAATTTTTTCCCTTTGAAAAAAATGCAAATTTGGGATGTTTAATAAATATTACTATTATTTAAACTATTTTCCAATAACACAACCAAAAACATAAATGGGGTTAAAGTCATTTAGCCAATCATTTCATTTTTTCTGTTTGTCAATAAATGGCAATAATAATGGTGTTATTACCCCAAATTAACGGGAAAATACACAAAACAAACTAAGTTTTTTCGATCATTTTTGAAGAATTTTGCTATAAGGCGTGAGTCGACTTATTAAATGTACAGTCTGTCTCAAACGTTATCTGGTGCCTTTTGGACCATAAAAAATGGAATAATTCGGGGAGCAGTCCCAAAAATCCATCCCAATTGTTTCGGGTTTTTTCACGTTTTACCTAATGCCCGATGTTTAGACAAAAATGAAAGTATTTTTTGTCCACCAGATAACGTTTGAGACCAGATAACGTTAAAAGACTGACTCTACTCTTACAAAGAGCGAAATGACATCCACGCAGCCAAGACAATTTATTATAAACAACTTTTACCCGACTGCAGTACAACAATTCAATGTTCGAGTCTGCCAAGCGTGGTGTTCTTTTTGATTATGATTGTCTCGTTGTTTTTTATTAATTATTTAATTAAATCCAAGTTGTTTGTTGTCAAATTCTCGTGTTGCATTTGTCATCTCACACACAAAAATCCACCCAACCGCTGCTTACAACAACGGCACCACTCTCTGGTGTTATACGCGATGTTTGAGCGTTAAAAATCAAATATGTCAATTTGTCTAAGTTCGTATGAATTGAAAAAACAAAGATTTCAAACGAAAAAAAAATAATTTTGAAAAACAAAACCAAATAACAAAAAAATAACCTATTTTTGTCGATAAATAAGGTTTTTGGAATAAATAAGGTTTCCAGACTGACTTTATAATTTATTCATTAACCAGATTTTAATATAAAATAATGATACTCAATATAATAAACTATATTTTATTATAAATAATTATTAATTATTAATTATTAATTATTAATTATTAATATTAAATATATACTATAATTTAAAACAATAATTAAATAAAATAAAAATATGATAAATCAATATTATACTGTTTTTTTATTTCAAAATTTTATCACTCTTTTTAATAATCAAAAGCAGAAATATTGAAATTATTGCCAAATTTATTATATTTTATTGTTGTGATTAATCAACAAAAGTCGTTTATGTTGTACAGTTGGTCTCATTACTATTTTTTAATTGTTCCAACAACAACGTTTGTTCAAGTCATGTTTTAACTAGCATGATAGCTCTTGTGTTTTTTGGTGTCTTTATATTCTTCATTTTATTTTTTTTTCAATAAAGTCGAACACATTTAAATATTTTGATAAAACGTGTTTTTTACTTTGTCAAACGTGTTCTTACTTCAAAAAATAATCAACAATTACACACAACAAATAAACATTGTTATGTAACAGACTTTGTTATTAAAACGACAATAAAAACACGCGAGTCGATTAAAATATGTTGCACCCCTTTTTATTTCTTTTCAACGGCTTATTTTGAGTTGTGATATTATTGACTGGAACATCTTCAAATTTAACATTAGCTCTAATGTCTCTTACCAACCCTTGGAATGTTTCAGTGATATTTGTTTTGTTCTTAGCCGAAGTCTCATAGAAAAGTATTTTCCACTCATCAGCAACCTTTTTGGCATCATCTGTAAACACCTGTCTCTCTGACTCCAAATCACATTTATTTCCACACAAAGCAATTGGAATGTGTTCACTGAAATCTTTATCAAGAACTCTGAACAATTGTTCTCTGAATGAGTTTGCTTCTAAAAACGATGTCGTTGAAGTGATCGAATAAACAATGACATACCCATCCCCAGACCTCATATATTGATCTCGAAGTGCAGAGTACTCGTCCTGTCCTGCTGTGTCCAACAAATCGAGTGACACCATTTCACCATCAACAGAGATGCTTGTTCGATAAGAGTCTTCAATTGTTGGATCGTATATTTGGACAAAGTGTCCAGAAACCAACTGGACTGTGATTGCTGACTTCCCAACAGCTCCACCACCCAATATTACTATACGTATCGTTGACATTTTGTTTTGGTTTTAAAGTGGTATTGAACTTTTTTATAATGAAATGTGACTCGTGAAAAGAAGGTGAGGTTTATATTTATAAACTATTTCTGTATAGCCTAAAAAAGAATAAAAACTTGGGTTATTATGAACTATCAACTTCACCATTATGTTTGTGTTTATTTATATTATTCCTATCTATTATATATAATATATAATTTAATAATTAAGCTGTATTGATACTTCACCTTCCATTAATATCAATAAATATAGTTCGATATAGTTCTTCTTTAAATTAATGAAATATTAATCAACAACGTATTTAAATTAAAAATCTACAAATAAAACTTCAGAAAAATACAAGAAATAAATATTTATAATTAATTTTCAATGTGTTGTATTTACAAAAAAAATGTTGTTAAAAGTGTTATATAAATTTAAAAACCAGTTTATTTTTATTATAAATTATTATACTGTTATTATAAAGAATAGTAACAACCTAATATCGTTAAATAGAAAACAGACTTTATATAATTTTAATTGCTGTTTTGATAATAACAGTTGCCAAATCAAAATATCAAATATTTTGATGTGATTTAAAGTGTAATCATTTTTATATTGAAATGTTTTAAAAATATAATTAAAATGTTGTAAATTTATAATATTAATTTAAAATAATGGAGCTCAATATTATTATAAACCAATTATCTTAAATTGGATTATAACAAGTAAAAAATATACGTTATTAACTGTTTCATCATATTGTTTTGTACATTTTCGAAATGCAGTTTATAGTATTTAAAACGAACAAAAAGCATAAAATAATTGATTATTGTATGGGTTGTTCAATGATTCTAAAATAAATGATTCAACAAGGAAATATTGACAATTTTTAAAACAAGGAAATATCTTCTATTATTGAATTTTTTACTTTAAAAAAATAAGTTAATTAATTAAAACTTCCCAATTTAATAAAAACATTATATATCAAGTTAGTTAAGAAGATATTTAAATTTACAAAATCAAACTTAAATTCTGTTTGATATTTGTGTTTTTTTTATTTTAGTAAAAACAAAAAACGACTTGAAAAAAATTTGAAAAATATAAAAATGAATGGTTGATATTGGGTTATGTTGCAACCAATTAATTATCTATCCTTACAAATTTTAATTATATATTTATTATAAAATTATCACATTTTTATGTTTTTTATTAACAATTAAAAATAGTGTTAAGTTTTGTTATTGTTTTTTTTTCAAAAACAAAACTCGAAAGATAAATAAAAAGCAAAAAAAAACGAAATTAAAATGGTAAAAACTCAGTTTATCAAATAAAAAAGAACAAAGAAATTTGGACAAATATTAAGAGATGTTCAAAACATTTATACATAATCATCAAGATATTTACTAAATAAATAATATTAATATTTATATAATATAAAACAGGATTAAAAAATAAGAATGTATAATAACATGAGAGATTATTCCATTTATTCATTTTGATTTTATGATGTTTAAAAATATAAAATTGAAATATTATAAATCGTTGTTATGAGATGGATGCGGATGCTGTTGTTTGTACTTTGCACGCTCTCAATGGAATGGTGTGATGTTGGAGGTAATATTGCGTGCTTTATCCAAAAACCGACAAAATGTTCTCATAACAATTTCGAACTCCAAAATAAAGTTCTTGTGTTAAAACAATCAAATTTTACAAAGATTCAATGCAGTGATACAAATCATCTTTCTGTTAGTGTTGAGTATTTTGAGGGTGTTTTAACAGTCGATCTGAAAAACACTGTTCTTAAAATTGTTGACAAAAATTTAGAATTTCAAGATGTCAACTATTATTCATTCAATTTTTCAAACAATAACAGTGGCGTATCAAATGTGACACATCAAAGAAAAAATTCGATGAATTGTAATGGGTTGGCTGTTGACAACTGTTTGGAGTGTTTGACGAATTATATGGGTTGTGCTCTGTGTGAACAAGGTTACACTCTTATGTATAGAACAGTTAATGGTCAAAAAGAATATACATGTACGTATGGTACAACAATTCCGTCAGGGTATTTAAAAAGGTGCAATGATAATTGGAAGTATAACGAATCTACAGGAAGGTGTTGTGCCATCAACTGTAGTTCAGAAACGTGTTCCGCTTCATTTACTAACCCATGTGGTACGTGTGCATCACCTTATAAATTAGTTGGCTACTCGTGTTATTACGATGAATGCCCTGTTGCAAATTGTGAGATGTGTTCAAGTTCGGGTGTTTGTAGCACTTGTAAAAGTGGATACACCTTAAAAAATTCATCGTATTGTGAAAGTAATTCCATCATCATTCCAAATTGTGTAAAGAACGTATCATTTTTGTGTTTGGCGTGTGAATCGAATTATTACTTGTTAAACATCACGTTTTGCCAACAATGCGACACAACATGTGGTGGTTCGTGTTTTGATTCAACAGGATATTGTTCAAGTTGTTCAACTGGGTTGGTTTACACAAATCCAAAATCAATGCAATGCGAAGTGTGTTCTAATTATGATTCAAAGTGTGTTGAATGTCTGACTCCAAACAGACAGTGTCGGGTGTGTACAAATGGATATTACCCATCAAGTACTAACTCCAATTGCATTTCTTGTGATTCGACGTGTGCGTCAACGGGGTGCAACACACAGACAGGCGCGTGCAGCACTTGTGTGAGCAACCAATATACAATAATCTCTGAAACAAGTGTCACATGTCAGACGTGTTCTTCTTTTGACACAAATTGTGTAGAGTGTTCAACCATCTCACGAAAGTGCACAAAATGCACAAGTGGGATGTACCCATCAACAACATCTCCATTTACATGCGTAAGTTGTGACTCAACATGTTTGAATGGATGCAACACACAGACGGGATACTGCGAGATATGTTCATCACAGTACACTCCCGCAATAACACAGCCTTCAAAATTCTGTTCTTCTTGCAATTCAATCGACCCAAACTGCAACACGTGTTCATCAACAGAGAGAAAGTGTTTAAGTTGTGCATCTCCGTATTTTGTTGGCAATAATGGGGCAAACTGTGTACAATGTGATTCGTCTTGTTCTTTGTGTGATGCAAATGGGTATTGCACTTCGTGTGCATCAAATTATGTGATGTATGACACACAAAACACAAAGTGCCAAAGTTGCGCAGATTTCGATTCAAACTGTGAGACGTGTCCAGGTGGAACTGCAAAGAAATGCGCAACTTGCAAAACAACAAACATGTACCCGTCACCAGATACCGGGAAGTGCATTTCGTGTTCAACGACATGTGGTGGAAGTTGTGACCAAACAGATGGGCATTGCACTTCATGTGAGAGTGGTTTGGTGTTCACAAGTCCGTCATCAACAATATGTGAAGTGTGCAAAAACTTTGATTCTCATTGTGCCACGTGTGCCTACAATGGTCTAAGATCGTGTTTGGTATGTTCAGTTGGGTATTACCCATCGAGTGGCATATGTACGGAATGTTCGAAAACGTGTCAACAAAACGAGTGCAACACAGCAAATGGAAAATGCGAAAAATGTATTGACAATTACGTTGTGACTTCGCCAATTTCAACAAATTGTGAAAGTTGCAATGTTTATGACCAAAATTGTGTGACGTGTGCAACAGACTTCACAAGAAAGTGTATTTCCTGCAAACCAAATTATTACATCAAGACGAGTGGCGACTACAAATGCCAGAGCTGCTCGTTCACGTGTGGTGGTGCCTGCGATGGTAGCAATGGAATATGCACAACGTGTTCAAATGGGATGGTGCCAACCAATCCACTTTCAACAACATGTATAACATGTCAGGCATTTGATGTTAATTGTGAGAGTTGTGTGACTGGTGAGCGAAAGTGCACAAGGTGTTCAACACCAAACATGTATCCCGACGACACGTCACATATGTGTGTATCGTGTTCATCAACATGTGGAGGGAGCTGTGATGCAACAAATGGGATATGCACAACATGTCAAGATAACTTTGTCTTCCAATCAACTAAATCACGCGTTTGTGAATCATGCTCAACTTTTGATGCACATTGTAATAAATGCTCGTCCGCATTCGACAGAAAGTGTGTGATGTGTAACACGGGATATTACCCAGACGAAATCGGTGTGTGTGTTCCATGTGGCACAATCAACACTAATTGTACGAGTTGCAGCCAAACAACAAAGAAGTGCCTGGCGTGCAAAGACCCACAATATGTGGCTTTAAATGGGATTTGTTCAAATTGCGAAGTTGGGACTTACAAGAAGACTGAGACAACATGTGAAAGTTGTTATTTTGCAACTGAGAACTGCAATGTGTGTTCAACACTTTCTGTGGGTCTTTCCAATTGCACCTCTTGTATTACCAATTATGTGTTGAATGGCGGGGAGTGTCAGTTATGTCCAAGTGGGAAGTATTACAATCCAAATTCAAAGAGCTGTCAAAGTAATGATGTAAACTGTCAAATACAAGTCGACGAGTCAAAATGTCTTTTATGTAACAACAACTACTTTTTGGCGAATGGGGTTTGCCAACAAACAACTCGATGTCAAAGCCCGTCCAACACCACAATGTCTTCATGTGACTGTTATGACCAGATATTCATCAACTCCGATTGTCAAGACAATTTGACAAATTGCAAACACCAGAAAGTTGAAAAGGGAAATTCTGTTTGTATCAATTGCAACGACAACTTCACTTTGAATGGAAATGATTGTCAAAGTGCACAACAAAATTTGGAAATAAGAAATGGTATTACTTACAAGTGTGGAGATGGTGCGTATCTCAACATCTCAAACGAATGTGTCGGCTGTGGTGTTTCTGTCTCGGTTTGCCAATTTTCAAAGACCAAAATAATACCACTACAATGCCAAACCAATTATATATTTGAAACGACTTCAAACCAATGTGTTACAGATGATAATTGTCAAACAACAAAATATGGGTTTTGCACCAAATGCACATCTGATTTTAATTACATCTCACAGGGGAAGTGCTCAAAGTGTCAAACCACCAACTGTGGTCTCTGTGACATAAGTACCTGTATGAAGTGTTTGGACGGCTTTGTGAAATACACCGACACTTGGTGTGTATCAAGAAGTGAGATATCAACATGCAAAGCATTTAGTTCATGTGGATGTGTTGTATGCAGTGAGGGGTATCACCAGACAGACGCAAAGAATGTAGAAGACAAGTACGATTACTGTGTTCCAATAGAATCCACAACAGTCACAAATTGCAAGAGATACAGTGCAAAGAACAACAAATGTGTAGAATGTCTTGATGCATTCAAATTGAAGGGTGGAATTTGTGCCGAGACATTTGATGAAGACGACAAACTCAAAACAAACACAAAAACAGCAACAGAGACTTCCTGTCAAATCAGAAACAACAAAGGATGCCAACACTGCGCTGATGGGTATTACAACATCAACAACGAGTGTGTTCAATGCCAAAACGACTGCTTAACTTGTTACAACACAACTTATTGCACTTCTTGCAAAGATGGCTTTTATCTGAGTGCTGACATGACATGCAAATCACTTGGTGCATTACAAGAAAGTTGTAACATTGCATTGCCTGGTGGAGGTGGATGTGCGATCTGTAACAGTGGGTATTATCGAGAGGGTATCAGCTGTACACAATGTGATGAGTCGTGTGCACTTTGTGTGAACAGTTACGAGTGTCTTGCATGCAAAGACGGCTATTTCAACATCCCAAGTGAAGGCAAATTGTGTGAATCAAATACAACACTCACAAATTGTGGGTTATCATCGTCGTCTGGATGTGAGAGGTGTGTGTCTGGTCATTTCTTATCAAATTACAAGTGTTATGAATGTTCTTCAAATTGCACATCATGTGAGAGTGAAAGTGTGTGTACAATATGTAACGAGAGAGAATATGTGTTGGTTGACTCACAATGTCTTTATTTCACAAAAGTTGAATTCTGTGTGTCAGCCTTAAATTCGAAGTGTGTGAAGTGTGAAGGTCGACGAGAACCTACAGACTCTGGTGACAGTTGCACAAAGTCGGTCAATCTTGGTGTTGTGATTGGCATCCCAATTACAGTTCGAATACTTTTGGTAATCTTCATAACAATGATCATTTTGTTAATCATCATTTTACTCAACAAACGCCAAGTGAAAAAGAAGATGCAAAATGTCTGTGTTTTTGATATCAAGAAATCGAACATAACAATGAATCCACTCAACAAATCTTTGTGTTCCAATAAGAAAGTATTAAAATTTGACATAGATTCAGACGCTCTTATTCCAGTCGATGAAGAATCGCGCGATTTGATATGTATTGGAAACCTCACCAAACACCATTTAAAAGTGCAATTTAGTGTAATAGAAGGGTGCGATTGTTATGAAATACGAACAGTGCCTTCAATAGTAACACTAAAGAAAGGAGAAGCGTGTGAGTTTGAAATATTCATTAAGCCGTTGTGCTCGTGTCAAATAGACGAATCGATAGTTGTCACTTCTTTGGATTTTATGAGTGGTGAACAAACAACTGAAAAATTGACAATTGAAACAACAACAGTCCAATCAACTAAATTGAATTACAGAGAACTTGACGAAATAAAGCTAATAGGCGAAGGCTCATTTGGAGTTGTATACAAAGGCACATTCAGAGGAAAGGATGTTGCAATAAAGAAGATGAAACAGATACAAAAGATGAATCAACTTCTGAATGATTTCGAAAATGAAGTGAATATGTTGGACAAGTTTAGAAGTGAGTTTATCATCCACTTCTATGGCGCTTGTGTCATTCCAAACCACATTTGTATGGTCACTGAATTTGCTTTGTATGGAAGTTTACAGGATTTGATGAAACACAAAAAGAGTGATGAAATCAGTTTGATAATAAAAATGAAAATCATAATAGATGCTTCCAAAGGGATATTATATTTGCATGAGAATGGCATTTTACACAGAGACATCAAACCAGACAACATACTTGTCGTTTCATTGGAAAACGAGATGAATGTCAATGGGAAGTTGACTGACTTTGGAAGCAGTCGAAACATCAATTTACTCACAACTAACATGACTTTTACAAAGGGTATTGGAACACCAAAATACATGGCACCTGAAATACTGAATAAACAACACTACAAGAAGGCAGCTGATGTCTACTCGTTGGCTGTAACGTTGTTTGAGACTTTGATATGGGGAGAAGCATATACTGGCGATGAGTTTAAATTTCCATGGAGCATTGCCAATTTTGTAGCTTCTGGAAAACGGCTTTCAGTTCGAGAAGGAATTAGCCCAGAAGCTTATCGTGTTATTTCAGAAATGTGGACACAGAAACCCGAAGACAGACCAAGTGCAGATGCTGTGGTGATTCTTTTACAAAAATTACAAAGAAATAATTAAAAATGGTTTTATAATTATAATTTTATTATTATAATTATTTATCATTTATTATATTAATTAATAATATTTTATTAAATGTAATAGTAATTTTGTGTTTAATATAAATACTATAACTTAATGGTTATATTATGAAGTAATATAAAATAGTTTAGTAACTAATAATAATAATCAAAACAAATGGATAAAACCCATAATATAGAAATAGACTTAAATTAAAAGATTTAATGATTATAGTAAAGGGATTCATGAGGATTGTTAATTTTCTGAGGATGGTAAATATCTTAAACATAATTTCTTTCAATTTAGATTTTTTTGCCTAAGATCAAAAAGGTATATTTTGAAACACATGATTTTCTTTAAAAATGCTATTTATGGATTTTTTGAAAAATGATTCTTTCAGTTGATTTTTACAAAAAAAATATCTATTTCTATTTTCTGATTTACCACTTGACTAACCTTGGTTTAAATGAAAACAATAAAAATTAATTTAATTTATCAAAAAGTCAATTTTTTAATTAAAATCACAAAACAAATTAATCAAACAATTTTTAATTTTTTTCACAAAAAATACAATTTATTATAAATCAATTCATGAAATTTCAAACAATAAAAAATGATAGCAAATAACGTACTGATAATTAATACTTTATGCGATGACAATTGATGTATTTGCGCAAATTCAAAACGCGAGGTTTTGAAGATCGATAAAACAACGATTGATAAATGAACAAATTTGTAAAATAAAATCATTTTTGTTTTAAACGGTTTTATTTATATTTCAAAACATATATACACTAGAAATATATGTTTATATTATTTTTTATACAATATTAATTTCAATAAATGAATCTTCAATTTATTAATCAATTTTATATATTAATTGGCGTTTTTGTTGTGTTTTGACGATTTTTGATATAATCAATTAATCAAAACCCACTTTATAATAATTCTTTGAAAATATAATTTTATTTATAGAATTTTAAATCAATAGTGGCAGTGCTATAAATATCTCTGAGGATGGTAAGTCGTGTAACAAACAAACATTATCAACACAGACTTAAACATCTAAAAAGTGAAATGACGTGTTACCATATTCAAAAATAGTAACTTACTCAATATACATTTCAGATAGATGTAAAAGTGTAAACTTTCTATTTCTGTCATCCTCAGAAAATAATTGCCATCCTCAGAACTGTAAATCTGTTTAAAACACAAGTTAATATCAAAATGAAACAATCATATTTAAATATACACAATATGATTAACTTTGTTATTATAATAAATTTGAATAATTGCATAAATTACAAAAATATTTATAAATTTGTTATTTTAAAATTACATTTTTATTAAATCAGTGTTTTCGACTTTTTCAATTTTCATTTTGATAAAAAAACAATTATCAATTTAAACGTAAATTTTAATTATTATGTTATAAAGACGGATTCGGAAATAATTTCAATAAGTATATAATCATAATATGAACAAGGTTAATTCATACTTTGTTGTTACCGGTCTCAAGTTCGCGAGATATAATTATTGTTTTTGTTTACTGATTATAAAGTGACGATTTTTTGATTGTTTTTAATTTTTTGGCATTTATGACAAATTATTACCATTATTTAAAATTTGAACTTTGACTCGAAATATTAAATGTAAATTTTAACTTGAG